TGTGCCTCACGGGGGTGGCCAGCGGGCAGGACAGGGACAGGAGTGGACTTGAACTTCAAACTCAGTGGAAGGCAGTTTTCCTGATCGCTCTTTAGGCCCCGTTCCATGACCCCGCGGACCGCTAGCACCCCCACACCGGCCCCTCCTCCCAGGGCCCCCGGCAGCTCTGGGGGAATCGTGTTCATTCGTCTTTGATGACAGTGAAATGATATTTGCCGGTTCGTGGTTCCAGTTAACGTGCATAGCCCTGAGACAGGATGGCCCGACCCTGCCTCACAGGGGACAGAGCTGAGGCCCTGGAGACATGAGGTAGCTTGTCCGAGGCCACACCACCCGCCGGGGGCAGGGGTCCACGCTGCCCCTCGGCGCCCTAGGCAGTCCACTTCCACGTGGTCATAGAAGCAGCGCCTCGTCTCTCGCTGCTTCGGTCGTGTCATGACACGTCCTCTCCCCTGGTCGTTTCTCCCCGTGTGGGAGTCAGGCCTAGTGTTTGTGCTTCTACGTCGTATTCCTCCCAGCCACCGACCAGGACCGAAGGTGAGAAGGAAGGTCTCGGTGGCCCTTCCCTTAGCTCCTCGTCTGTGGATCCCGTGCAGGCACCTGTGACCCTGCGGCGTGGCCCCGCGAGGAGCTGTCAGCGCCATGGTCGGGCCAGCTGTGCCCCGGCCCAGGCCTCTGCTTGTCTCCTGGGGCCCACGTCAGGGCTGCAGGACCGGCGCCCCTCCCGGCACGGATCCGCTGCGGACCCCAGGGTGGCCGTCGGGTATTTCTCTCTCCGGCATCCGATCTCGCACCCCCGCCCGTGGTCCTGCAGAGCCGACGGGGGATCGCTATGTCACGGGTCCGATCTCCTGGCCCTTCCCCTGGCTTCTTCCTAGTCTGGCTGCAGCCTCCTGAGAAAAACACTTGAGAGCTGTTCACACTGCACACCCACGCACTTCAAATACCAGGCCCATAGGTCACTGGAACGAGAGTTTGGCGATGGCGTGTGCTCCGGGGCTCAGCCGGGTCTGCAGGTGCCGGCGGGGAGGGCTGCACTCGGCCCGGGGATGGCGGCGCGGGGCGGACATCGAGCGGTCCGGGTCCTGCCGCGTCCGCGCGTCCCCGCTGCCGCCGCCGGCCCCCAGGGAAGAGGAAGGCAGAGCTTTCCCGCAGCGGAACGTGTCCCCACACCTGTGATGCACATGTCATCACTCAGCACCTCGGCCCGTGAGGCAATAGGCAGACGTCCTGGTGCAAGCTGTAAACAAGCGCCCATTGTGAGGGACGCTTCAGTGTACCCCGCCTTCGGGGAGACACCGGGGCCAAACGCCCCACCCAGGAGCTCCTGCCAGACGCACTGCTTGTGACGACACGTAAAGTGATGGACGCAAACAGCAGCATTTTAACCACGAGCAGTGACTTCACAGATGCTCACTGCAGTTGCCCCTCAGGCCTGATGAAGCAGGCCAGTCTCTAGGTGACCGGAGGGGTCACGGCTCAACGCCCAGGACCCCAACTTCGGCTCCGTAAGAAACTGCTTGAGAACTAGGACCCAGGCTTGCAGGGAGCAGTCCGCGTGCGTCGGGGTGGCGGGGGCTGTTTTCACTTCGGGGCAGGGGCGGGGTGTGGGCAAAGTACCTCCAGTCCAGGTCCCTGGCCAGGCCTCTGCATTTGCAGGTAGAAGTTTAGGGCCTTGTGACAATACCGTGAAGAACGGGGGCATCCGGCTGGGAGAAGGAGGTTGGCGGTGTACACCAGCTGTGTGACTTGGGGCAAATGACTTGACCTCTCTGTGCCTTTGGCTTTGCGACCTATTAATCGAGGACAGTAAAATCTTTCCTGTTCATTTCTTGAGAGTGTAGTGAGGACCAAATGAAACCGGATATGGGAACGTGTTTGAAAAGTAAGTTCTACCCTGACCCCAACATGCCAATATTTTGAAGACAGTGATTTGACTGTCGCTAAGGAAATTGAGAGCAGGTGGGTGGTGGGAGTGGGGCCGTTTCGGGGGGGTGTGCACAGGGGTGCGGAGTGGCTGTCACTTCTCGTGCCGAGGCCGGAGCACCTACGACCTCTGGTGCGTGCACTGGGCTAACGAGCGTTCCCTGAAAATTCACGTCCCCCGGTTACTTCAGAGGGTGACCTTGCTTAGACTCAAGGCCTTTGCAGGTGTCATCACGGTAAGGGGAGGTCCTACTTGTTTAGGGTGGGTCTTAAATCTGGGGACTGTGTCCTAAGAAGAGGGAGGTTCGGAGACGGAGACACACACAGCGGGAGAGGGCCACAGGGTGATGGAGCAGAGACTGGACGGACGCTCTGGAAACAAGGAATGCCGGGGACTGCCAGCGACCGCTAGGAGGTGGAGCAAGGCAAGGAGGGAAGGAGTCTCCCCAAGAGGCTCCCGAGGACGCGCAGCCCTGCCAGCACCCCGATTTTGGGCGTCTGGTCTCTGGTGCTGCGACGTGTTTCAGTTGCCTGAGCCGCCCCGTCGGTGGTAGTTTGCTGCAGCAGCTCACAAAGCTCAGAACACTTTCATGGTTTGGGGGAGCTGATGTGGCCGCGGCTGAGGACACGCGCATGCCCGTGCCTGGAGACGGCGCGGCCGGCCGCCCTCCAAACATAAAAGCAGAGTTGAAGTGACATTGTGTGTGTCCCAGGAATCCCTCATCTTGCAGACCAGGAAACGGAGATCTGGGATCATCTATACAGGAGCTCAGGTCTGCTACCTGCCTCACAGAACGTGCGCCCCGCTCCTGCCCCGCCCCCCACATGCACACACCTGCTCAGTAACCCCGGCAGTGTCCTTGCTCATTGCTTGTGTCTCCAAGGTCCGCTTCCTCATTTCACACACACGCACACGCACACGCACACGCACACACACGCACCCCTCCGAAAGCCATGCACCTGGTACAACTTGGATGGTTTTACTCTATTAACTCATTTAACGTCCCCCCCAAATCCTGCCCTTCTACCCTGAAGCCCTTCCCACTGTCCCCGTCTCACCTTCCCGTGAGGGGACATGGTGGGTCTAGAACATGACCCCCACTCTCGGGCCTTGACAGCCACAAACCCCATTCGTCCAGCACCCTGAAGATCAAAGTGAGGGACCTTCACAGCTACGAAGCGGACTCTTGCCATCAAGGGAGCCGACCCGGGACATGAGTGGGTGACGGGCGCCCCACTCAGACACCAGGAAGACGGAGGCCCGGGCTGCAGCCAGGAGGCCGGAGCAGGGAAGACCCCAGAGCAGTCGTCCCTGGCTTCAGAGGGGGCTCTGGCTGGGGAGGCGCGGCGTCTCGGTGGGAGCAGACGTGAAAGACAGGCTGTGGGGTTCAGTCTTGATGCCAGAGGGAGTGACCCCTCTGGCAGGTGGTTGATGGAGAAGGGACAGACTGGCCGTGGTGCTCAGAGCAGCAGGTGGACAGGGCTGCGCCCAGGGCTGCAGCTGCCTTTGCTCCCCGGACCAGTTCTTCGAAAGCCGCCTGCCGCCCAGCGAGATGGGCAGGCGCCCTGGCGCTGGCCTCCGCGGGCGGCTCCTCCTCGCCGGGCCAGCCTGCGGCCTCCCTGCCCTTCTCTGTCGGCTAGTGCCCGGCTACAGAACAGTCTGGGCCGTCGCCCGGTGACATTTGGAGGATGTCCTGAAGACAGGAAGTCCCTAAAGCCCGAAGGACCCTTCCTGGGTCCCAGGAGAGAAGGCCTGCTGAGGTGAACATGGGCTTAGGTGGAGGGCCCCCCGGTTGCTCTGGGGCTGTGGCCCGTGGAGCAGCCCTCGCCCGCCTATCAGACAGGTCAGCCGTGACCGTGGTTATCATCCGCTTCACGTAGACGGAACGCGAACCGTGAGGACTGTATGGTGGGCTGTCCGTGGCCGGGAGGCGCTGGCCTGCTGCGGCCAGAGGTATTGTCACTGAGTGTTTCTGTGGGGCCTCCTCTTGTACCACCTGTGCACGCAGTTGGAAGTAGCCTGCTCCTTCTGACGTGGGCAAGAAAGACAGTTTGGCTTTTGAACTGGTTTAGGGAGCAGATAGCGGAATAGGGGGGCATGGTGTGTTTTCCCTGCATCTCTCTTTGGTTGCATTTCGTGCTAGGTGATTAAGGAGAAACTCTGTTAACTGGGGCGCTGTTCTGTTGCTGTGGGGGGTCTGAGCATCTTGCCTGGTCTGACTGTATGACCCTGTTATGGGAAACAGGAAAAGAAATAATAAAAGTGAGCACAACACACACACACACACCCTTGAAAACTGTGCCTGGGATCCAGTTTGACCGGTTTTCCTCACAGTAACTCATTTAACCCCCCCCCCCCCCCCCCCCCCCCGTGTACCCATCTCCCAGGGGAGGGCGCTGAGTCCTGAGGCCGAGCGTAAGTGCAGCACCCGGGTGGGAATTCACGCCCGTGTGTGTTCTGACCCCGAGGGGTCTCAGTCTGTCAGCGGCGTGTCCTTAAGCCCAGGCAGTGACTGTACATTTTGTTTGGCCAGTTCTAGGAGTGCCGCTAACACCATCTAACATGTTCAAATAATATTGAAATTCAACCAGCATTTAGTATTTTTGAAATACAGACTTATTTTAATTTAGCCCATCTTCAAACTTAGGAATTCTGTCTTCCCTGTCCTCAGAGGTGCAGACAGCCCTGGAAGGGATGGTGGACCTGGGGTCCTTCCCCCCTTTTAGCCCCGAGTTTATTCAAAGGGGGGGCCCGGGGTGGGGAAGGAGTCGTTAGCTGCCAATCCGATCCCGTGTCCCCTGGGGTCTTGACTTGAAAGAAAACAAATCCGAATCTCTGGGGCCTGTGTTTATGGTGGTTCAAAGGAAGCCCCGTGGCTGCGTGGAGTATCAGACCCAGCCAGACCCCGTGGGTGTGCGTCTCTGAATTTCAGCAAAGCCCAACTCGAGGGCGGGTTGGAGAAACCAGTAGCTTGTGCTGAGCTGTGGCCACCGTCCAGGCTCAGGATGGGAATGAGCGCGTGGTGGGCCACCTGCAGGCTTCCTCATCCTCTGTGTTCTTCGTGTTCCAACAGGGAAGAGCTTCACTCTGACCATCACTGTCTTCACAAACCCACCGCAAGTTGCCACTTACCACAGAGCCATCAAAATCACAGTGGATGGACCCCGAGAACCTCGAAGTAAGTGGGCCCCCTCGGGGCTGGCACACCCTCGGGGCTGGCACACTCAGGCACAGGGGCCGTGGCCTGGAGTCCTTGGGTTGGATTCGCATTGCTCAGGTGTGGCTCAAACCTCTGCCAGAGGGGATGTCAGGCCGCTGCGGGGGGAGGACGTGTACAGCGGACACTCTCGCTCCCAGAGGCTGTCCCTGAGCACTGAGCTGGCTGACCCTCTCAGAGAGCAGCGGGAAAGGCTGCCTCGCGCAGTAGAACCGTCTCGGGCTGTGTGGGACGGAGCACGGGTCCCCCGGATACACGGCGAAGTCGGGCAGGGTCAGCAACCGACGGGGAAGGGGAGACCGGCGAGGCACGGGGGTGGCCGAAACACGCCTGAGGGTCCAAGGGGACCACAAGGCCTGATCACCAGCCGTGCTGGCGTTTCATTCATTTGTTAAGACTGGAGATGGAAACTATGAAAATGACCATTTTCTTTTGGTGGCACAGATCAAAATCTCATTAAAGGTTGTTTAAAATAGAGACGGGGAGGGTAGCTGAGTGCCTGCAGGGGGAGGGGGTAAATATAGAAAGATGGTACCAACAGAAAATAGCTCTGATGAGGAAAGCTTTTAAAAAAGGAGTGGGGTTGTTTAGTCTGCAGAGAGATGTCTTCATGGTGACTTAATGACTATCTTTGAGTAAACATAAGAGTAACACTGTTTTTCAAACCACACCCTTCCCCGGATGGAGGCCGGGTTCCAGGTCCAGATCTGTGGAGCTGACTAGAGCCCCCGCCCGGTGTCTGTGCGCCTCCAAACGTGTCAGGGTCCCCAGTGGAACACGAATACTCTCTTCTCGGGGGAGAGAAATGAAAACACAGGGCTTCCTGCTCTTCCCGGAGGCTGAGATGCAGGAAGGCCGGTGGTAACAGGAAGTGATGAAGAATCTGGACTCGGGGGGCAAACAGGCAGAGTTCTCGTTCAGGTACCTCAGGCCTTCCATGTGTCACAGAGCCCCTCTGACCCTCGGTCTCCTCATCTACAGAATGGGGTGATGCCGAGAGCTTCTGTGTAAGACTGAGCGGAACAGCCCCGAGTTCGTGCCTGGCCCAGAGAATGAACTCCGATGTCTGGGAGCCCAGGGGAGCCTCCCTGCTCGTGTCTCCTTGGCCTTGCTCTGGGGCCAGACGTTGGGAGGACGTTCTCCTTGTCGGCCTCTAAGGCCACCCCTGGGGCCTGGCTGTCTGCATGGCGTCCTGTGATCAGAGCATCTGTGGCAGTCTGTCCCGCCATCCTGGCTACAGCCTCATGGCTGGTGATCACCTGCTTCAACCATCCAGAGGCTGCATCAGGTTCCCAGTGCCCCAGAGCGGGAAGAGCCCTGCAGAAAATGTCCCCCCAACCAGGACAGCCCCCAGGCCGAGGTGTTCCCTCCACGGCCCCCTTAGTTCCGTTTGCCACACTCCATGACTCCCTCTCCATCTGACCTTCTTGTCCCCATCCGCTTTTCCTGGCTCCGCCCGGACTCAGGGCGCCCCGGGACTCGGTGACATCCCGATTAATGTGTATGTGAAGAGCAGGCCCCGCGCAGAGGACCCCAGTTACAACCCAGCCGGGAACGGCTGTGAGCACTGTACGTTGCCAGAGCAGGCGAGCTAAGGACGAGCAGTGACCCTGTTGTAACCCTAACAGACGCCTCGGGCTCTCCACGAGGACCAGAGAGGACGCAGGCCTGGATTATAGCAAGGCCGGGGCGGGGCAGTTGTGAGTGGACGGAAGCTGACTTGGAGGGTCTTTAAACGGGCGGAAGGGCCCACTCGGGGCCGTAGAATCTCCGTCTTGACAAGCAGAAGCCACGGCCTCTCGGGCAGTTCACATGCGGACCTGCCTGGAGGAACAAGCTTAAACCACGTGGCCCCCTGACATACCCCGGCTTCCACCGTCCCCCGCATCCGAAAGGGCAGGTTTGGCCCCTTGCTAGCATTTTCTGTAACAGTCAAAGAACCTAAGAGGGGGTTGAGCTTCAGAAATCAAACAGGCACTTTGACTCGGGAGAACTGGCCGTCGGAGGGGAAGGCCTGGCTTCGGAGCGGCCGGCCTGTAGCCGCCGTCGGCTCTGCTCCCCGCTGCTCTGTAGCCTAAGAAAACGGTCAGCACCAAGGAGGACGCTCCCAGCAGACCGAGGGATTTGCCCCAAAGAGGTACCCATTTCTATGGAGTCTCTCCTGCCAAATGGAAGAGTTGGGGTCAGGGAAAATGAAATGAAATTAATAAGTACATGTGGGGTATAAAGAGGTGTAGAAGGCCCAGGTAAACAGTCTCACATTTCACAAGTAACTTCTAGAAAAAAGTCCAGAGCACACAGAGTCCGGGGTGACCCGGTGACGCCTGCGTTTCCACTCGGGCCACGGAGCAGGCAGGGCGCTGCTGATTTATTTCAGGGTGGGGTTCATGGTTGGATCCAAGGTGAGCAACCCTTCTTTTGGGGGAAGCTCTGCTCACTGCTACTTCTTTTAAAAGAGAAAGTGAACGGTTTTCTCCCAGCTTCGTTGAGATGTAACTGACATAACATGTCATTTTAAGGTTTACAACGTGATGATTTGATTATACGTATATATTGCGAAATGATTATCCCCGTAAGGTTGGTTAACACACCCATGACCTCACACAGTTACAGTTGTGTGTGTGTGTGTGTGTGTGTGTGTGTGGTGAGAACTTATAAGAGTTACTCTGCTAGCAGCTGTCTGATAGACACACGGTCCTGTTAGTCACCAGGCTGTACCTTAGATCCCCAGGGCTCACTCCTCATATAGCTAGAAGTTTGTACCCTTCGACCAGTGCCTCTCCTTCCGCCCACCCCACCCTGGCAGCCCGCGGTCTCCCCTCTGGGTCTGTGAGTTCCGGTTTTGGACTCCACACCTAAGCGAGATCACACAGTAGTTGTCTTTCTGTCTGACTCACCTCTCTTAGCTTCATGCCCTCAAGGTCCATCCATGTTGTGGCGAATAGGGTTCCTTTCTTTTCTGTGGCTGAATAATATTCCATTGTGTGAGATACACTCACTCACTGTATTTTCTTAATCCATTCGTCCATCGATAGACGCTTCGGTTGCCTCTGTGTCTGGGCCGTTGTGACTAATTCTCAGTCACTTCTGATGTCATGTTAAGAGAGGTCACTGCATGTAAATCATGGTGCCCAGAGAAGTCAAATCTCTGGACGAATAAGACCCCCCATGTCCCTTCATCATTATGGTGCTATGAATTCTGGGTAATTCTTGCAAAATGGCCTTGGCATTACCAAGTCCAACCGTTTTAAAAAGTTCTCGTTTCATGACATCGAAGACTGTGAGCTAGAAGGAACCCAAGGGCCTTCAGGCCTAACTGCGCCCCAGAAGGAGGAAAGCAGCCCCAGAGAAATGAAATGATTTGCCCAAATTAAAAGGAAGTGGTTGGTGACGAAGCCAGAAATAGAATGAGGAGCTGCTGATACCTGCTCCTCTCCTCTTACCCACCCATCGTCTGTCTTTCCATCCAGTCCCCTCTCCGTCCATCCCTTGGCATTTGTACATGGTCTACACTAACCTCTGACCTTGCCTTGGTCACCTGGTGTGTGGAATAAGGTCTTGGCTCAGTTGACTTCTCGCAGTCACCCGGCTGTAAGATTGTCCAAAAGGGGCGATGACATGTGTCAGCAGGCGTGGAGCCTTCGACTTGAAGCGTGTGTGTAAAAAACAAACAGACAAACAGACAGACAAACAAACAAACAGGAGAGCTTATCTTATTGCACCCACCACTCGGGTAATTGACCAAAGGACTCAGAATTCAGGAACATGCCACAGCCGTCTGGCGAGGCCGAAGGAAATAGAGGTTTCAGACCGATCGGGAAATCATTCATTGCTGACAGCTCCATTCATTATGGAGAGAGAGCCCATCCGAAGGTGTTCTCCGCTGGGCCCGTTCTCACCGGCATCTGTTTGCAGTTTGGACGTAGGACACTCCGTGGCCACCTTGAAAGATCCTCTTCTCTTTAAGCCTGAAAAACAGAGCGAAAGGATTTTTTTTTTTTTTTTAAGAAAAAGGATATTTGAGTCGTTTTTATGTATCTTTTAATGTTTGGAGGCCCTCAGGACAAACTCTGGCTCAGCCCACGTGTGTGTAACTTAGTCCGGGTGTCTGTGATATGCTGATGTTGCTATACCTCTGCAGATGCTCTGGAATAATGGGAATGTGCGAGTTAGCTCAGCGCCGTGCAGAGGGTGAGGAGAGCGAACAGCCGGGCCCCTACCTGACCCAGCAGCAGTGGGGGCGGGGGGCGGGGGGCCGGGCTGTGGGTTTGGACAGTCATTCTGATGTCATGAACCGTCACCTGTCTAGCCAGGACTCTGTTACATCTGAAACACTGAGTAACCCAATTAAAAGCTGAAAAGGTTAATAAAACAAATATCGGCCGTTCCTCGGGTGACGTCTGCCCTCGGGTTAAAGGAGCCAGCTGCAGTGACTGTGCCGGGCTCCAGCTCATGCGAGTCGGAAGGACCGAGAACCAAGCGCGGCTGAGAACCCTGGCAGTGGGCCACCCTCTGCAGCACTGGTCGTTGTGCCAACTAACCTTTCTTAAAAACAGGGAGTGATAGGTAAAGGAGGTCTGGGAAGGGCCAGTTGCTTTGTTACGGACTGGGCTGAGATTCCGTCCACAGCAAAGATCATGTTCTGCTATGACTTTGACTGTAAGTAGCAAACCTACAACATACACAGCGAGAAGAAACAGGACCCTCGTATAATAAATGGCAAGTGTGTTTCAAGTGAAAAGAGGGCTGGGGGAAGGGTCCCTGGGAACTTACGATGATCATGGGCCTGAAAGAACTTGCAATCAAGTTTATCCAGAAAAGTGCGGGGTGAGACTTAGTTATAGATTGTTCCTGGGGTGGACTAGTATACAGTTGCCTTTTAACATGTTATTTTTTTTCTCTGAATCAAAAAAGCACCTAGCCCTGGCCAGTTTGGCTCAGCGGTTAGAGCGTCGGCCTGC